AATTGGATCGTATTTACGATTCCAATGGAATAAATTATGACCATGGAATATTAGTGTTTAAGTCTTTTTATTATATCCTTACTCTGTCCTGGACATTGAGTTCTACCTGGATTCTATCCTCTTTGAATTATTTTTATACATATACGTATGGGTATGTATGTATATATATTTATATATTTTGTATATATGATTGCATATGTATGTGTATATTTAACACTAATATTATCTATCTATCTATCTATCTATCTATCTATATATGTGTGTGTGTGTTTATATATATTTATATATAGATGGTTTATCCTTAGGAGGAAAAATTTGATATTTATTGACCGAGCAGTCTATGCTACTGTCGTTGGAAATTTAAAAAAAAAAATTCTCTCAAAACAATTTTACAGGAATATAGAGTTCTCAATTTATTTCACTTTTTTTTGCTGTTTCTTTCTTTGTTTCTTTCATTATTTTTCTATTAGATTGTTTCTTTCACGCTCCCTTTCTTTCCTTATGGTGTTTATATTATTTTCTCCATTTTGTGTAACTTTCTTTCTTTATGACTATTTTTATTCACAATATATGTCCCTTTTGCCTCTCTTTCTACTCTTTCTTTTTTTCTTCCTTTCACCATTTTTGTATTAGCTTCTCACCCATTCTTTCCTTCTCTCTTTCTTTCTCTCGTTCTTTGTTTCTATCTTTGTTACTTTCTTCATTTTTATATTAGATTTCCACCGTTTCTTTTCATCTAATTTTTCTTTTATATTTTTCTTCAGCGAACCTTTCTTTTCTTCTTCTTCTTCTTCTTCTTCATTTGTTTTCTTCCACGATATTTTCTTAATATCGCTTCCATTATTTTTTTCTTTCTCGATTTTTTCTTATCCTTTCTTTCTTTCTTTTAGTATCTTTTTTATGTATATTTTTTTTTAGTTTGGATTTTTCTGTCAATTTTTCTGTTAAATATTTTCTTTTTTTTTCTTACATTCTTTTTTTCCTTCTTTCTTTCTTTTTGTCATTATTTTTGTTTCTTTCTGTTGAACTTTTAGTTTCTTTTTATCTTTCTTTCCTCATTTTCTCTTGCAGATTTTCTTTCTTTTTCCTTTCCTTCTTTCTTTTTTCTTTCTTTCTTTCTTTCTTTCTTTCTTTCTTTCTTTCTTTCTTTCTTTCTATTGCTTTGTTGCTACTTTCTTTCTTTCTTACTTTGTTTTATCCACTGGTTTATTTGTTCGTTTTTTCTTTTTTCTTTCTTTCTTTCTTTCTTTGATACTCTTAATTTTGCTTTGCTTCTATTCTTCCTTTTTGAATTTTTCTCATCGTTTCTTTCTTTCTATCTTTTTTTCTTTTTATTCTTTCTTTCTCTCTCTCTCTCTCTCTTTTTCTTACTTTCTTTCTTTCTTTCTTCGATAATCTCAATTTTGCTTTTCTTCTATTCTTCCTTTTTTGAATTTTTCTCATCGTTTCTTTCTTTTCTTTCTTTTCTTTCTTTCTTTTTCGATTCTTTAATTTTGCTTTTTGCTTTTCTTCCGTTCTTCCTTTTTGAATTTTTCTCATTCTTTCTTTTTTTTCTTTCTTTCTTTCTTTCTTTCTTTCTTTCTTTCTTTCTTTCTTTCTTTCTTCGATAATCTCAATTTTGCTTTTCTTCTATTCTTCCTTTTTGAATTTTTCTCATCGTTTCTTTCTTTCTTTCTTTCTTTCTTTTTTCTTTCTTTCTTTCTTTCTTTCTTTCTTTCTTCGATACTCTTAATTTTGCTTTTCTTCCGTTCTTCCTTTTTGAATTTTTCTCATCGTTTCTTTCTTTCTATCTTTTATTCTTTCTTTCTTTCTTTCTTTCTTTCTTTTCTTTTTCTTTCTTTCTTTTTCTTTTTTTTCTTCTTTCTTTTCTTTCTTTTTCTTTCTTTCTTCGATACTTTAATTTTTGCTTTTTTTTCGTTCTTCCTTTTTAAATTTTTCTCATCGTTTCTTTCTTTCTATCTTTTTTTTTCTTTATTTTTTTTTTTTTTTTTCTTTCTTTCTTTCTTTCTTTTTTCTTCTTCCTTTCTTTCTTTCTGTCTTTTTTCTCACACATGTGCCCCCACCTCAACTTTCCCTCCAATTTTATTTTTTATTCCTTTCTAGTCTCCTCCGTTTTTATTTTGTCGCTTCAATCCAGATATTATCAAACTTAATTCCTTAGTTTATTTTCTATTCTTTCTTTCAACCGAACCGTTATTTTTTTAGTTGATGTGAGATAAGCATAGATCTATGTAGAGAAAGGTCAGTTAGTCTTTGCGTGGGAGGGCGTGCATATGCAGGAGACAGCTGCATTTGTTGCTTTCTGTGTGTGCCATAACCTTTGAGTTTTCTGCTGTTCAAATATATGCAGTTTCTTTAGAGGTCATTCACTCGTTCTAATTAGCCTGGAGCTTTTCCTGCCGTTCACGCATGTCATGTTGAAAGACTCACGGGAAAAGTTGGTAACCTGAAAAGCACAAAATCACGTTTATAAAGATCGAACTCTTCATATTTTAATGATCAGAAATTGTATAATTACTTGTTGTTTGTTCTGACCTTTCTTTTTTTTCGCATCGGCAGACACGTGGCCTGACGACATGAAAAGTTATTGGATCAAAACTAAAGTTCATAGCGTTGCTTTTGTTTCAAATCTGGCGTTACAACGTGTGGTTTTATTTAACATGTGACTGAAATACATGACATATATGGTAATGGTTTTACTTGAAGATTTCTCATAAGGGAATACTCAGCATTCCTTAAACCAGAGTTCGGTCATCTATGTCACGTGTGGCACACGCGGCACGCCAAAACATTTCCAATGGCACACAGCCGAAAAGGACATCACGATGTCCGAACCAATAGCTACTACAATGCAAGGAATATATTTAGCTGTTTTTGTTTGTTCGGTGGACTCCCAATAATAGTAAAAACAAACAAAAACTGTTATATTTAACAATATATATATATATTATAATGTCAACATGAGACAAATTTTAGTAGATAACATCAAAAGAATTTATCTAGGACAGGGTACGAGATTTCTGGAGGCTATTGTAATAAAAGAGAAGCAGTCAATATTAACTAAGGCTGGGGTCGGCAAATTACGGCACGCGTGCCACGCCAAGCAATTTCCAATGGCACGCAGACGTAAGTGGCATCACGAATTCAAAACAATAACTAAATACAACGCAAAGAAGATATTTAGCTGTTTCAATTTTAATATATACTAAAGTATATATTCTATATATTACTATATAAAATATATTGTAGAACGGATATATTGACCATGACTTGGACAAAAATACGCATGCTGTTGGTAGACTGAATGATTTTAAATCCCTAAGTCGGCACATGGTTTCAAAAGGTTGCCGACCACGGCCTTAAACGAGCAGCTATTGCAGATCGTGTTAAGCATTTGTTCTCACTGTACATCATGTCGGGATCAAAGTGTAGTATCTGACCTTGGTCGGATAACCTGCATTTTATCTTTCAATTGTGTCTCTGCCTTCGAACAGTGTGCAACTCAGTTGTGTCGTGGTCTGGGTCTAGTTTGAACTAGAACAGGCTACCCCAGTGAAACTTCCTCAATCAAGCCCTATCATTATCCCACACCGTGTCCTATATATATATATATATATATATATATATATATATATATATAATTATTTATTCAAAAAATATGATTCCAAATCGCTACATAAGAGGTCTCATGTTTCAAAACTAGAGCCGAAAACTTCAATATAATCCTTTAAATTAAATTGAGCTGAAAGTAAAATGGGCTCCGTTCCATCCTCAAGCACAAATTTTTGAACGGACTTTAATTTATTTACCTAACCAGTTCCTTCCTATTTTCTATATTTTCACACACACACACACACATATATATATATATATATATATATATATATATATATATATAATCTTCTGCAGCTTAATTTCAGGGCGTTGAACAAATGTAGTCTGTGGTCTCAGAGCATTATTCTCTCGTTTTTTAACATGTTAACTTCACCAATGGATAAAACTCCAGGAAGAATATAAGTTTTACGTTCTTCTCTCCACTCTGCTACAGTGGCATTGGTCCTCTCCATTGCTTCACTTTTAATTTAGCCTGTGTTACCTGAAAATAAATTCAAGGAAGAATGACGTCAAAATTGAAAACTGGCAAAAGCTGAAACTGTCCCTGGTATTTTTATTCATTTAACCTGTTCACATGTTGGATTTTCGAGACAAGGATGCCATGGAATCAGAGTAGATTTGTACAATCTCCTGAACGTGAGCTGCATAAGAGAAAAGAATTCATTCACACAGTTACTTACATGAGATGTATGTTGAGTGATATATATATATGTGTGTGTGTGTGTAGATAGATAATCGTAAAAGGCACAGGAAAAAAATGAAAAAAAAAAAATTAATTATAATAGATTAAAAAGAAGTGCTTTACCCGTTCTTACATATCGCTGAACTTTCATATATTTCCTTGCAGGGATTAGGCATGAATAAATAAATAAATTCTCCCTCGAATGAACGAGTCAATAAAGGCTGCCGTGTGAAAACATCTTAGCTCTTGTCACGTGATTTATCAACTCGCTAATATCAGAACGAGGCTCAAGAACTAATAATTCTTTTCTCCATGTTTGTTCGTGTTCAGATACTTTCCATCGGTAAAGTTTATAGTTATCGGCTGAAGACATTATTTCTTTCTAGATTTCTATGTCAGTAATTTCTTCCCTTTGTTTTTTATCTACATTTTTTTTCTTTTTCAATTTTTTTTTTGTGTTATTTATGACTTTTGATAGATTTTATTTTGTACAGTCGATAGCGTGTCGGAAACCAGAGAATCGAGTTCGAATTCCAGTCGTTACATTTGCTTATGTACAAAAAACTTTGAAAAAAGATATGAATCCATCTCTTCCCACCATCTATGGGTTAAACAGCAGGACTTGTAATCATTGACTCCCAAAATTTGTTAATGTAATATTCACTCGCATCATAAAGGAAGCATTATTACAAAGCAAAGATTCACGACCATATCACGTTGAAATACCGCTTCCCGTACGATCATTAAAGTTAAGCAACGTTGAGTCTGGTCAGTATCTAGATGAGTGACCGCTTGGGAGTACCAGATGAGGTAAGCTTGGATGTGCAGGTGGTGTAATGAATAATGGCTCGGAATTGTTACTCGGAGAGCAGAGTTCCAATTCCAGTTGGATTCGTTATATTCACATAAGCGCAAATGCCCTTGGGAAATGTATTAATCCGGCTATTTTCCCCCAGCTATGGGTTAATTAGTAAGACGGGTATCACTACATCCTTGATATTTAAAAAAAAATATTTTCTACCTTTAAATAACATGCAAAGAATTGATAAGCCGTATAAAATTAATCAATCTATTATTACAATCCATTATATGCATCGGCTTTGAATAACCCCAAAGAGTCGATAAACCGTTAAAAAAACAAATCAGTCAATACTTCTGACTAGTATTATTTGTTATTGGTGGGTGTCAGCAAAAGGAACAGCCCATCATGCAAACTACAAATTGGAGATAACGAAACCGAGTAGAAACATTTAAACACATGGGATGTGTTCTAACAGAAGACGGTAAATGCAAAAGAGGGAGAGCGAAAGATGCCTGTCAAAAGCTAAGTAAAGTATTAAGAAACATGAAAATTTCGTTTAAAACCAGAGAAAACCTTACTGGACTATTATGTATTTTGTCCTCTTATATGACAATCAATACTTGGCATTTTCCTTACAGATGAAGAATATGAAACAACAAAAATGTGGTTATGCAGAAGGATTCTGTGAATAAAACAAGTCATCCACAACGAAGTCTTAGAGAAGACTAGACTACCGGGGACCCGTTGGTTCAATGACGGGTCAGGTTCTAAAACATTGAAGTTGATTTCAACATTAAAAAGAAGAAAGTTGAAATAAAAATACTTACTGTATAAACAACTCGTATTTTTAAATTTTCTTCACTTAAAATATTTTTTTTTAAATCAGATTAACTGACAAAAAATATTTTAAAATCACATTCACTAGAAAATATCTTTTAAATATGCCAAGAAATATTTTTTAAATATTTAAAATATTGCTTGTTTAAACAAAGCCTAAATATAAATAATTACCCTACAATCAACTGGACGAAGCAGCAAAGCGGCATCTCTTTGTGTCTGTCTTTAACTTAAAAAAATATTTCTATTAAAAAAATATCTGGTTGAAGAAAATTGAAATAAAATACTTACTGTATAAACAATTGGTATTTTTAAATCTTATTCTCTTAAAATATATTTTTTTTAAATCTGATTAATTTAAAAATATTTTTTAATATATCAAAAACTACTTGTGCCTGTCTTTAACTTAAAAATATTTTAATTAAAAAAATTTCTGTTTGAAGCAAGTTAAAATAAAAATACTTACTGTATAAATAACTCATAAATCGTTATGCGCCGGGCGAAGGCACCAAACAAGCAGGAAGGCACAGACTTTTAGTATTATATAAATGGAAACAAAAAGGAAACATCAGAAAGAGAGAGTTGAAAATTACTAGGGCACATAATGAGGAAAGAGGGCTTGGAAAATTTAATACTTACAGGACGCATTGAATTCAATAAGAAAGATAAATCAGCGCATAATATACTGATGAGTAACTACACTATAGGTTGTAACTTCCTATAAGTAAATCAACAGACTACGGAGTCTAGCTGAAATATTTTCAGCTGTGCTGGTAAAACTCTCAGTCTTCAGGCAGAGAGGAAACCGGACGAGGCTATGTAGACCGACCCGATCCCGTTTATGCTGGGTCGACGGAGATTTTTTGGCCGAACCTACAGGCTCGGGAACCCCACATTAAATTCGACCTTGTGCCGCATGTGACTGCGTGGGGCAGTTGTTAGATACCCTAGCTGGGATCTGTTATTCAGATCTTGGTTGTTGTCGAACTCTCTACCTTCGTCTCGTCTGGGGAGATAGACAGACCCGGACCCGTTTATGCGGGGTTACGGGGAATTTTGGACCGAGACTACTGGCTCGGATTGCCCCACTTTAAATTCGGCCTTGTGCCACATCCCAACTCTGCGGAGGCTGGTTAAATGTCGCCTAGTTGGGATCTGTTGAGTACGACTCAGACTTACGCGAGAACTACCGACTTTCCAATAGTAGCACTCACTACTGGATTGACTTGCGACGATCGTACGCATAACTGTTACCTTATTTCTTATTGTACTGTTTTTTACAATAAACCTTTGCTTCTTTTATCCACCGAGTTTTCCCAAGTATATATTCCTATTAGCACGGAACATAAGACATACCTTGACAAAATGGATTGGGAAGCAGGGTTTAGGAGAGGTAAAAAAGACGACAGAATTTACTATAAGGACAGAAGGGATATGATCGCTAACGTCCCAAGGAACGTGGCATTTAGACGTAAATGGGTATTCTCCCATCGGTCTTGTTCTTTCAGTCTTTTAAAAACTAATTGCATATTATTGCTTGTTTTTTTTTGGTTAACCCAAGTGAACATTTCCATTGTATATATGATGGGGTGTGCTAAAAACCGGGTAGAAAGAGTCTAGGTATCAAAACAGAAATCAATACTTTTCTGTCATTGGTAATTTCATGGTTTAAGCGATCATGATGATCGAATAAAATGTAGTTGGTTTCTTTTGGGCGAAGATGACGAATTTCTCATGTTGGGGGTCTGGAGAGTGGAGAACCCAGAAGACATCACCTTTGGAAAGTGAGTGAAAATCATACCATATATATATATATATATATATATATATATACTGGGTGTAACAGCAAAATCCTCCAAATCTTGTAACAGCAATATTGTCCAATTGTTAGATCGAACAGCTGTATCTTACAAATGATTAAAGATATCTTACTGGAATTCTCCTGGATTTTTATAAATCTATTGGACTACATATTGAACAATAAGAATGTATTTAGCTCCAAGTTGAAATGATGATCCCTCTTGCTGGTGTGAGCTCCCGATCCAGTTTTGCTTTCAACTGCTCCCTCTTTTTAAAACTTATTCACCGTTCTCTTGATGGTTCTTGAATGGACTTTGGAGTTGGAAACCAGAGTTTGAATGTTGGTACCATTACTGAAAGCCTGAAGGATCATATTCCTCTCACGTATCGGGAAGACATACTGGAGTTGACGCAAACATTTGAAACTTGTTCTCTATCTAGCTGAATAACTGAAAGGGTTTTTCAGAGATTCTTATGACAAATGGTGTCAAGATGGTTAAATCTCTTATCTGAAAACCCACAAAAAAGAAACTCAATTAGTTTGTTATTGTTTTAGATATCAAACATTTTGTGGGAGGGATAATTATCCCATGCTGTTAAACGATTTGGACAATTTTGCTGTTACATTCGGTATATCACTCTTGGAAGTATTAGACTTGGCTTACTTTATCTTTACCAAAGTTAGATGCAGCCTGAAACATAACAGAGCCATCACTATGCTTAACTATTGGAACCATACATTCATCATTCAGTCTTTCTCCTGAATTCCTTTCTACATACACTCTCGTCTTACTGCCAAATTCTTCAAATTTGGATTCGGTTGGCCACAAAACATTTTACCGATCTTTCAATGTTCTTTTGCCTTTTGCACATAAAATTCTTCTGTTTTAAGCATCGGGTGGGTCTATTATGGTGTGGGGTGTTTTGAGGGTGAGAGGGGGCTGGAGACTTGATTCAATTCAAGGAAATCATTAAAAAAGTACAACATCGTTCAATTTTTCAAAGACATTCTATACATCAGGTTTACTCAGAATTGGAGAAAAAAATCGGCATTCACCAAGGCAACAATCCAAAACATTCTATAAATACCTCGGAGTCCTTTCCAGAATGAACCACTGAAGGTATTACACGTCTCATACCAAAAACAGATGAAACAGATGATCAAACACATTATAGGTCAATAACATGTCTGTCAACCACATATAAACTAATCACGTCGGTCCTAATTTTGTCTAATTTTGCTGTTAAACTTGGTATATATATATATATATATATATATATATATATATATATATGTTAAGACATTTGTATGTTTATACATTCTTTTTATAAATACAAATATTCAAGTAAATGCTCTGTTTATAATAAACAGTATTAAACAACATTTATCGGCCAGAATGTCCGAGAAATTTTTTTATACGAAGGGCGGATTCTATTTCGGGGAGGTAAGCCGACCCCGAACCCGTTTATATGCGTTCAATGGGCATATTTTTAGCCGAGCCCACGGGTTCGGAGATCCCACGTTAAAAAGGCCTTGTGCCACATGACGCCCTCGTTGGGGGGGTGATTGAATATCGTCAATCGCTCAAGTCTTGAACGACAGATCGGTTGAACTCTCTGCCTTCGGGTGGGGAGTAACCCGAAAGAGGCTACGCCGAAGGGAGGAGTCTCTTTTGGGGAGGTAAACCGACCCTGAACCCGTTTATACGGGTTCAGTTGGCATATTTTTGGGCCGAACCCACGGGCTCGGAGATCCCACGTTAAAAAACCGGCCTTGTGCCACATGATGTCCTAGTGGGGTGGGGGTGACTGAATATCGTCAGTCGTTCAAGTGGAGTCAGTCAGTAGTTTCAAGTTGAGTCAAGAGTCGAGTCAGAGGCAGTCCGAAACAGAGTCACGTTCAGACAATTACTGCAAGACATTAGAATAGTGATACTGGTCGAGACTACATTGTACTTTCTACTAAACCTGTTTGTTCATACTAACACTTCTACTTCTCTGTATATATTCCTGTTTGTAATATATCTGTATTATTCCATATCCGTGTTCGAGTTCTTCTTTATTGGTTCTAACTTGGACTATCACCCGGGGTACAAGGAACCAGACCATTACAGTTAGCAAGGTCGAATTTACTGTATTTGAACTTCAATCTTCTATGAATCTCTCACGTACATTCATATCTGCTCATGGCGTATCAAACGTAAACAGATGACGTCACACATTATGAAGGACGAATATTTTCTGTGAAGATTTCTCGGACATTCAAACCGGTAAATGTTATTTAATACTGTTTATTATAAACAGCACATTTACTTAAATATTTGTATCTATAAAAAGAATGTATAAACATAAAAATGTCTTTTTTATTTTATT